TTCCCAAGCCTTATTAGCGGCATCTACAAGCGCGGGGGAGTCACAATCCTCGCAGGGGAACTCCCAGTCAGATCCAGCCCGTTCAATAAATGCAGTACACTGGAAGCTCAGGATCGAGCTAGGCTTAAGCGTCAGGAAGCGCTTGTGAGAGCTCCCCAGGGCCAGCAACAACCTTTATAGGGTGATGAGGCTGCGGATATGAATATGCCACTGGCAGCAGCACCGCCACCACCACCTCAAGGGAGCGATACATAGATTCTGAGGTAGATGTTTACCACCATGACTGGCTACAGGAGAGACGTACAGGGACTACAGTAAGCTTTCGGGATCATGCGTACAGACATGCAGTAGGTGTGAGCTGATGCACTAGCCACCCGCACTTTATCCTCTGATCTTGGTCGAGAAGTACTCGCATCTAGTCGAGCAATCGAAACATTGACTAGACGATTAAGCTTATATACTGGATGGGTAGATGATATACAGCTCCGGGTCGATGCAACGGTGGATCGTTTGGACAGCCTTGAGGCTGAAGTACGACGACAGTCCAGTCTTCTTCAAGAGCATACAGAGCTGCTTAGGGAACAGTCCACACTTCTTCAGGAGCAGTCAGAGTTGATGCGACAGATCCTTGCACGACTGCCTCCACAACAGGACGCTAGACCCAGTGTTGGTCTTCCACCACCTTCACTACCTCCAGCTTGATCAGGGAGTTTCCTCATCCCCCCTTCTCTTCATTTCTGTTTACGTTGCCTTTATTTTCTGTCTCTATCCTTATACTTTAAACATTGGGGCAATGTTGGATTTAGTTTGGGGGTGGTAGACATTGTATTAACATTCGTATGACATTTCATTTCAGTCATTTTTGCTTTTTATTTTTCATCATTCATCATTATTACCGCATGCTTTTGTTTTGTTGCCTGTTTGAGTGTATCAAAAAAAAATTCCAAAATTTCAAAAATTCTTTTTATCTATTTCAGTATTTTTGTTTTGTGTGCTTGTGTGGGTTTAATAGCCTTGCCGGCAATAATGAGAATATTGGAAGCAGTATGCCTATGAACTATGGACATTGTGCATGCTAAATTGATTTATACTTGTCTATGTGGGGACTTGACAAGTATAAATCAATTTAATATGCACAA